TTTTATAGCTCAAAGAAGTACACGAGGATGATATTAATGTTCCAGGGCCTTGGAAACAATATCGGAGCCATCTTTCCCGCTTTACGACCCTCACTTATTCAAGAATAATTGATTGCAAAATAAGCTGGGCTTCTTTTGTTTTAGATTATTGATTTGTTTTTCTCGCCCTTGGACCATATAATTGTAAATTAGAGGGTATCGATGGCTGTTTCTTTGTCGACAGCCATACTAATTTAGCAGTCCTAATTCCTATCTTGCAACTGATATGCGGTCTTAGCTACTGAATTGTGAGACGAAATAAAAAACCGGCCAAGTGCGAGTCGTCCTTGCGCACGAATGGTTCCGTACAACAAACCACGAAAGGAAAAATCATTTGTTTGTTTTCGTTACCAGTTACAAAGTGCACCACGAATCAGCGTTTTCAGTATTTGTTGTTTAAATACAGCATGAGGGATATCATGTACGAAAATTTCACATTCCTAACTAGTTTCGGTTTTGAGATAGAAGACCCCGTAACAAAAATGGTCTAAAAATTACAACTAAAAAGGCCCATTTCTTCGTTTTTAAAAATAATAAAATTATATTTATGGTCTACACAACGAGCTGTAGATTATGATGTGTCACATGCTGGTGTAAAAAAGAAAAAAGGTATAGTAGACAAATCTCAGAATCTGGCAATGTCAGATGAGTATAAAACGCCAGATTCTATGAATGCCATATTTATTCAAATGACAGATTCTGGAAACGCCAGATTCTGATAATGCCAAATTCATTAAATGCCAGATTCAACTAATGTCAGATTTTATACCAATTGCAAAATCATTAATTAGTTAATAATTAGTTAGAAGTGTGCATTCTGATCACTTTTGGGGCCTTCAATAATAGACACGTGATATTCAGTCGTTTTTGCTCGACTAATAATTATGTTAAATCTTGCATATTGGTCTTTTGCCAGACAAATTGGCACTTCGCTTTGTTTACTCTCAAGTTACTCCTTTGTTGCTCTACCAACAACTTTATATAAATACTAGCTTTTGCCCGCTGCTTCGCTCGCTTTAGATTTAAAGTGAATTATTGAATGTCAAACTCAGTAATTAAGAAACTAAAAAACATCTTTATGCTCATTCAGTTAAAGGATTACCCTTGCGATCTTGGTGCTCCATACAAACTTTGAACCCACGTTTTACTTCTTTAGGGAGTAAGTATTTGAAAATCCTTTCTTAGCGCATGCCGACGTCATAATAGCTATATGACGACCTCCGTGGCCGAGTGGTTTGTACGCCGGGTTTCATGGCTGTCGCCGACTCGAGAGGTCCCGGGTTCGAATCCCGGTGGGGACAGATGTTTGTGTGATGAATACGAGCATTTGTACTCCAGTCATGTATGTTTAATATGTATTTATATAAATATACTTATATATGTACAGTATATGTATTCTATCCGTTACCCTAGCATCCCATAACGCAAGCCTTATAGTGCTTACTTTGGGGCTAGGCTAATTGGTGTGAGTGTCGGAAATCTTTATTTATTATTATTTATTTATATGTGTGGCAAATTTCAGTGCAATCCGTTTAGTGATTTAAAGCTGTGCATTGATAGATCAGTTAGTCGTTCACGGGAGCCTTTTTTAATACCTTTTTTATCATGCAGGCAAAACCTATGTTTATAGACGTTGGCGCCCTTAAGGGGCACATCAACGAATGGACCTCACGCCTAGCCTCTCGCAAGTCTCACGGGTGCGAAACGGAGAAGCCGTTCCGCTTACGAGCGCTTACGGCATACTATCCGCTGAAAAACCCTGCGTATACCCTCTACGCTGTTAAGTGCGAGATCCCCGTTGAGGGACTTCACCGCGTCTTTTATACTATACTAGCAAACCAGTGACCCAAATGTTCACCAAAACCTGATTTAAAAAAAAAAATGTATTTAATTAATTGAGAACTTCGGAGATTTTGTGTGGTTTCGTTTGAAATTCGTGATTTCTCGAAAACCGGAAGTGCTACGTTACTCAAATCCGGTTTGTAGTCTTATCAGACTATTCTTAACTTATAACTTAAATATTCTCTTTATCTATCTCTTACGGTTTGGCCGCTGAAACAGCACCACAGACAGACAGACGGACGGACTTGTCTAATAGATAAGAGATACCTATAGAAGATTATCGAGTAAATCTAAAGGTAACTATGTTTTTTGCATTGATAATGTATACACAGTCAGGTCATAAGTATTGTCACATAGTAAAAACTTTTAGAATGTTGGCCACAAAAAAGTTTATTGAATTCGAATTTCGAATTGTTCATGAAAATAAAAATGTATACTTTTTAGAATATTACTCATTTTTAAATATGGAGTGGACGCTTAAAGAAGACCGTGATTGCAGTCATTGCGTTGCATCGTTGCGGTTACGCGCCAATTCAAATTTTTGACATACTGAAAAATTTAAATATAACCAAAAGATTCGTTTATCGTACCATCAAACGATACAATGAAGACTCTAGTGTAGATGACAGGTCAAGAAATGGTCGCTCTCGGTCTGTTAGGACGCCAGCAGTGATAAAAGCTGTGAAAGCGCGAATTCAAAGAAATCCCAAACATAAGCAGAAACTGTTGGCCCTTCAGATGGGGTTAAGCAGAACCACGGTGAAAAGGGTGTTAAATGAAAACTTAGGGCTTCGGGCATATCGAAGAAAAACAGGACATCGTTTGAATGCTCGTCTAATGGACCTGAGACTGAAGAGAAGCCGAAGCGGTACGCGGGAAAAGAATATCGGGAAATTCTTTTTTCGGATGAAAAAATTTTTACCGTAGAAGAGAGCTACAACATACAAAATGATAAGGTGTACGCACACAGTAGTGAAGAAGTGAGCAACCGTATTCCGCGTGTCCAACGAGGTCATTTTCTATCCTCGCTCATGGTATGATTGGGAGTTTCTTATTGGGGCTTAACAGAGGTATATTTTTGTGAGAAAGGAGTAAAAACGAATGCAGCTGTGTATCAAAATACAGTCCTTATGAAACTTGTGGAACCTGTTGCTCATACCATGTTCAATAACAGGCACTGGGTATTCTAACAAGATTTGGTGCCAGCTCATAGAGCGAAGAGTACACAAGACTAGCTGGCGGCGCGTGAAATCGACTTCATCCGGCGCGAAGACTGGCCCTCCTCCAGTCCAGATTTGAGTCCGTTAGATTACAAGATATGGCAATACTTGGAGGAAAAGGCGTGCTCAAAGCCTCATCCCAATTTGGAGTTACTCAAGACATCCTCGATTAAGGCAGCCGCCGATATTGACATGGACCTCGTTCGTGCTGCGATAGACGACTGGCCGCGCAGATTGAAGGCCTGTATTTAAAATCACGGAGGTCATTTTGAATAAACTTTATTGTCATAAGAATCTATGTTTTGTTAAGTTCATTTTGGTATATAAATGGTTACATAATGAATAAACTTGTTTCAATTATTTTATATTAAACATGTGACAGAATTTATGACCTGACTTAGGTATAACATTAACTCATAATTAAAGACTGTAATAAACACAGACGGATTCCTTTTACTGCTACGCAATGGAGCGTCCTTTGTGTTATTATAATAATAGATTTGAACGAACACAAAGACCTAATAACCTAGCTTCTATTCGAAATGTCTGTCGCAGTAATATTATTCAGAAGCACGTTACTTATAATTATATTCGAGAATTTGACAAAATGTTCGTTGATGTGCACTTTCTGCAACCGTAATTGCTGAGTTTGTAACGTTTAGTTTCTTAGCGAACTAAGATGCAGCTATGACGTCAAATTCAAACTTGGTAGTCTGATTACATACAAATAGGGGTTTTATAGTAAGCAGTATTCCAATCCATAAATGTGACTTATCTAATGTGAGCGAAATTATGTATGACTGATTTTGATTGAGCAATACTTGCACAGCCAAGGTCAATTTACAAATCTTGAGCAGGTCAAGTTTCATCTATTTTCATAAATAATTTTGAAATTATTTATTGTACATTTAATAAAAAAAAAAATTGAAACCTTCATATTGAGTCCTTTCATTTGGTATGAAATACAGTACAGTTACCTAAATTTTATTTTTTTATTTTCTAATTCACCTTCCAAAAGTAATTCACATATTCAAAATTTATTCATTTACTTTATTTGTCCGTGTTTGGGTCACAGACATACATGTATATATGAAATTTCAACTTGATCGGTCGAGTTGATTCCGAACAAATCGACTGTGACAGACATGCAGACATAAAAAAAATCGATTCAATTTGACCAATCATATAGAATGGACATGATCATTGACTACCTATACCAACTGCGTTTTTATTTTTCGATCTGAAAAATATAAAGAAAGTGCGATTTTTACTTTAATTAGATTAACGATTAATTAAGTGACTTGATGCATAAATATTTTATGCACATCAAATATAATATGAAATAAAAGAGACATAATGAAGGTTTCAATTTTTGAAATTTGACAGTTGTATCGTTTTTTAGTTTTGTAGATTTTTAGGAACTTATTTGTAACTATCTATTTGGTTAAGTTCCTAAAACTTATTTGTAACTATCTATTTGGTTAAGTTCCTAAAACTTATTTGTAACTATCTTTTTGGTCACCCTACTGTAAAGCTCCTACTGGGATTAAATCCTGGTACTTTGGAGCACAACGGAGGATAAAGAATGTTGACTATGGTTTTTTTTAATGACAAATATTCTAAATAGCTTTCAATTCCAACTGCAAAGCCATAAAAAAATGAAAACTCAGGCCTGCAGATAAATAAATATTAAATAAAAAAAACAAATTAACGTTGAATTTAAACGATAGTTATTATTGTAGATTCAAATAAAATACGTAAATTTATTTTGTTTACACTGCTTCTGTTTGTAAATTAAAAATTTATGCAAAGAATTAAATGCAACACACAATTACCTTTTCATATTTTTTTTGCCATTCGTTATGTTATCATTTATCAAGTAAAAACAAATCAACTTACCATTATTCTCAATCAATCTTGTAAACAAATATTATTACAAAGTTCATTGATACTGATTTCATTCACAGTCAATATTACTCGTAAGTCCTTATCCTTAATCAATATTTTACACGATTACCTAAAAAATATAAATTTATTTTATACTTATAATTTGGTGTTTTGTTTTGGGTTCTATTGTAGGCTCTTAATTCACATAGGTTATGTATTATGTACAACTTAATAATTTTGCGTCCCACTTTCCAACAGTGTCTTTTAATAGTTTTGTCACAAAATACGACACACTTCACAAAAAACTTAATTTTGGTTATCTTTAAAAATGTAATTATATTTAACGTTTCACTAATCGAGGACTAGCTTGGACTAGAAAAACACATTAAAATATATTCCCAAACGACATTCCGGGGTGTTTCACGCGTAAACAAATTTCGTTGTCGGCTCTACGTTGATTGTTATCACCATTTATTTCGCGATTGCACCGTGCATTGGTGCGGTTGAGGTTATTCGTTGTGTCGATACGTCACTTTCGCCCTACAATAGTAAACATGGCAGCGTTCGCAACAGATGGATGAGAGGGCGCGGACGAGCCTGCGCCTCGCAGCTGGGCTCATCTCATCTCGCGGTAAAAGCGTTCTGCCAAATTGTGACCCGTAGCATCCACCACCGATGGCGCCACTGAGCTCGCACCCTCGGCAAAAAAGTTTAGCAGCCCTCTCCACTCCGTCGGTAAAGCAGTTGCATGGTGGAAAGAGACAGAGGAGCATCGCGTGAATCGATTGGCTGACGAAAATGGGCGGGGAAGAGCACGTGGCCAGGCTTGTTGTCAGAGTACGCGTACTGTATAGTGTATTGTTGTTAATGCTTTCCGCGTTACACGAAAGCTTGTGCTCAGTGAAAAGTTGGCTTGTCAACTTAGAGTTTTTCGTAGAGATAAGAGGCGAATCTCACGGAAGAACCTTGTGCACTTACGGAAATGGGAATTTTCGGAAGATTACTAAGTGCATCTACTTATTGAGTCTCACTTTAAATATTCAATACTAATAGGCGGACCTATTAGCAATGGGTATTGAATATTTAAACCAGTTTGCTGAATGTTAAGATAAAATAATTGGTTTTCCTAGTTTGTAATCTAAAAAACATTAAAAAAATAAAATATGTCTGTCTGTCACTGTATCACGTCTAACTATATTGAATTGGATGTGGTGATTAAATGGATCTTGGAAAAGGATAGCTACTTTTTGTCACGAAATTTAATTAAAGTGGTGAAATACATGATTAAAGTTTTCTATAACAAATCTATAAGAATTTTATATGGACAACGTCGTAGACATCGTGGACTTCTATAATGGCTCCATTATATCTGGACGTTAGCCCGAATACGAGCGCAAATGGAATTCGGGAAAACGACTAAATGTAAATGAACGGAGTTTCGGGTAGTTTTTGTTTTGGTTACCTGACACCGTCTTCCAGTCTGTATTACAGTGTAAATATTGCTACGGGTGCCCGAATTCGGGCTAACGACCAAATGTAATTGAGCCATAGGTCCTTACTTATATTTAAATACAGAATTTTAGGAATATTTGTACCCATTAATTATATTTGTTATTATTTTTAGTTGTATTTTTATTTACTAATGTATTTCATTAATTTCGATTTTATAGTAGTGGTTTATTTCATGGTTTCTGTTGGGTTTGCACTTAAAAACTCATGTTAAAATATACTAATGAGCAAAGGATACTATTAGTCTAAGATTATTTAATAAAAAAGAAATATAATAATTGTATTGGTAATGACATATTTTTATGTAAATGTCGCTACTTCATAAAAACTGATAAGTTTCTTTAGCCTGATGTTCTCGTCAGCTAAAAGATGTTCTGGACAGATAAAAAAAGACGACGTCATAAAAAAGTCAATTTGAATAAAGTTTATTTTCATTTCATTTTAGAGGTTTATTTGTTAAATTGATTCAAACGGAGGATAACATTAATGACGGTGGTAGTGCAAACGATTACACTGAATGATAAATATATTCTCAAAAAACTATGATCAAAAAATCAAACACACGATAAGTTTCGTTAGTGTAGGTTAAAAATCTTTTTCTTGCAGAGTCTCATGACGGTTTAAGTAGCTTTGTTAAATATCATATACCTAATTACTTATGGAAGAAAGAGTGGATTCTAAATACATGAAAAATTATTATTATATTTATTATTATTTATAAATACAATTCTACTCCAGAAAATCCAACTCGAGACAAAATAATCCCGATAACTAAAACAAAATCTAACCTAGACCTCAGACAGCTCGACTCAGATGGTTGGCAATGCGTAAAAGTCTATCAATCAACGTTTAAATTTAAATTCCATATAAATTTTCGTATTACTGACAGCAAATTGCGAAAAAGTATAATAATAATAATAATAATAATAATAATAATAATAATTTATTGTCTTTTTTTTACATGTTAATAATGTTATAAGATAGGTGGTCTACTTACCAGTTTGTGTACTGGAATCGAAGAACGTGCTGGTCGTCTCCACAGTCATAGTACCGATGGTGCCATCTAGTATCTGGGTAGAAGAGTCACGACGTCCCCTCGCTCGCATGCAAGCGTCATCACTTTGCGAACTTTGACGCCTGAAATTTCGACAGCGGATCATTTCCTCTGTAGTAGACTGTCGTCGGAAGCCTCTAGCTATGAGTATTTCTTCCGTTGTTGATTGGCGTCGTATTATAGTCCGTTCGGGGGGCCTAGCGCACGGGCTCGGGTCGCGACTTGAACACGAACTCGATTCCGGACTGCGAGCCCGACCTACTCTAGCACATGAAGCTTGCCTCCTTAATCGTCCTCGTCGTCTGGCAGCGGATGGACTTAATTCACCTCCTCCCGCTCGGTCCGGACTCAACTGAGAGCGCTCGCGTCGAGGCCGAGCTGCAGAATCAGGGCTTAATGAATCTCTTCTAGCTCTGCCTTCATCATCGGGACCCAATGATGGCCCAGAATCACGACGCCTCGCTCCAGGCGGGCCATTAGGGTCATCAAATGCAGTAGCCTGCCGTTGCAACCTTCCTAATCTTCTTTCCGGGCTAGCCGCTGCCCGTGAATCTCTTCTAGCTCGGCCACACTGTGTTGTAGAATCCCTCCTACCACCTAAATTTGGTGGAGTTCGACCACTGGGAGTTACTGCTTGTGTTGTTGGAGTAGCTTGAGTTGTTTGTGACGTTTGAGTAGTTTGCGTTGTACTAGGTATCGTCGGTGACGTAGGAGATGGAGTAACCGCTGATGTGATAATGGTTGGCATAGTCATAGGCTGACACTCTCCGTCTGAACGGCTCGGTTCATGAATTGCAACTACTGTCACCGAAGGCGGTTGGGTAGAAGGCCCTGGATCTGAAGAGGCATCTACAAATGAAGGTGCAACAGGTGGAGGAGGCGACGCTCTTCGTTTCCTGTGGGTAGCCACTATTCGAGGTGGTGCTACAACCGAGTCCCTGCGATGTCTGTGTCCATCGACTGAATCTCGGCGGTCTTTACTATCGTCACCTGAGCCACGTCTTTTGACACGGCGTTCTCTTGTGGGCATGATGGTGGTAGAATCTTTACGTTCCCAGTAGTTAGGGAATTCTGCGCGGAAGTCTTGTGGTGCGGCTTTGGAGTCTCTTCGTTTTGAGGCCATTGATTTTATGCCAGAGTCGGCGGAGGAGTCGCGGCGGCGGCGCGGGGGAGGCTCGTGGCGCGCCCAAGGTAGGGAGCGGGCGAGATCGGCCAGGGTCTCGCGTCTGGACAGTGGTGCCCTGGTGCGGCGCGGTGCGTTGCTGCTGCCGCCGCCACCCCACTCGCGGAGGATGTCTGTCAGTTGTGCCAGCGAAGAGCGGCGACGTCTTGGTCCTCCTAAAACCAAAATACAAAGATGTTTTTTGGCATTTAATAATTATTATGTATATTTTCCATATTAAATGGAAACAAAAGGAAAATTTTGGTTGTGGCATCAATAAAACTTTCGATAATAAAAATTGCTATCGAAAAGCCTTGTGTATAATACTTAAAGCCCTTTAGTGTAAAGTCAAACCCAAAGGGTAAAAACGGGGCCATATTACTAAGTCTCCACAGTCCGTCTGTATGTCTGTCTGTCTCTCACCAGGTAGGGGACTCTCTTTTTGGGGAACATCGTTAATAAGTTAGTGTGCAAAGTATCAATTTAATCTAATTTTTCGAAGTTGAAGAAATTCACATTAAAATCCCTTTTTCTGCTCGAACCTCAACGCCTGTCTGGCAGTAACCTCCACAGTGAACTAACGTTACATTTCACATTATGGACTATTCTACATACCTCTTGGTTGGTTCTCGACGTCTGGCTCTGGAGGTGATAGGCAAGACACCTGAGCGGCTGAATCCCTTCGGCTGCCGAGCCTTTGACGCAAGGTGGACTCCTCCAAGGTAGAACGCGTCAGCTCGTCCCACCCGTTGCCTCCAGCCCACACCAACCCCACTTGGTGCGACAGTATCGGGAGGTTGCAAACGAAACATATTGCGGTCATTGTCCTGTTAGAAACAAAACAATTATTAGCACCAGGTTTACCTCTTCCATAATACAGTTTAAAGATTCAGCCAAGGTTACGTCAGAAACTTTCATAAATGAATATTGTTTGATGCTTGCACTTCATTTAGCTATTCGTATTTGCTTTTCATAAAATTTGATAAATGATATTATCTCTTCTTTCATTCCTTATAGTTATAGAGCATGCATGATAAGAACTCACATAAAATTGGCGAAATTGTGGAAAGTTGCAGCTGACTCATTAAACCATTAATAAAGGAAGGATGTTAAGAATACACTGTTGTCAAATTTATAAATTACATATACGAACAGCATTGGAGAATTGGTATAATAAGCCCTATACATCCACAGACGCTGTGGACATAATATATGGCGTACAAGTGCACCAGTACACTGTCCTATTGTATTTCATTCCACACATAATATTTCAAAATAATGATATACACATCATTATGTCAACTTCTATCCACATTATAATTATTTATTTAAATACTACCTTGGTTGAATAGCCAACCGACAAATCCTCGAAGTATATTAAGCTCTATGATGCTTATTAAATTTTGGGACCGAATTATCATGCCGGCTGCACACACTTGCCGAGACAGGCCGAGACCGAGTGTGTACATGGTGCTCTCGTCTCATCTTGGTCTCTCGAGTTTCGTCTCGTGCGTCTTTGTCGCTTGTCGGTTTTTCGCCCGAGTCAAAGGATTTCGTTGTACCTCTAGAGGAAATGAGAGCAGTATGTGCGTACGCCGAGTGCTTTCTCGGGTGAGATTTTTGGCGAGTGTGTACAGTCGGCATCAATTTTCTAATTTTAAATCTTAGTTATGACCTTCTCTAGTCTAATCAAACTGCCAGATACCTATTTTGTGAAGCAAAATTAACAGACACTTTTAAAATTTGGAACACTGTGAGGGCGTACATTGATAAACATTCGAGTATATGTCATTTAATCATAACTGTTTTATGAATGAGTTACAAATTTTTTGACGTTGATTGAAAATATTTTATGCCTAAATTCTGTTGTAATTTAAACTATTAAATAGAACTCACGCTTTATTGTTTTGAAAATGCGTAGCGGGATACATATTGTTTGCAGTTCGGTACATGAATAGCCGTGAAGCCGGTATCGCGCCCTTGTATTCGCATCGGTGGACTGATAACTACCGATATTGGGTAATAAACGCTCCTTCGCTCATCGACATGCATTATCTATCAATATACTGCTCGCCCGGAAATTGTTTCGTTGGATCACATGGTGGTGTGTGGCGACAGACGATAAATAGTATTAATTTGAGTGGTTAGCTTTCATTGTAGTTGTATTGTTATGCCAGTTGCTATACGATTACATCCCTATGTAATTTAAAAAATAGAGTCGTATAAATTTACTACAATAAGGCTGTCTTTCTATTTGTGCTATGCCTCGAGAGGAACACCAAAGTTCGAATAAAATATTAAAAAATAATTTTGATTTGAGAGATGACAGGACGCTGATTCGGCATAGAAGTCACAATAACTATTTTTAATATACTAATAATATGAGCTACTTGATGCTTATGATTTCCGAGTAATATAATCGATTTCCCATATAACTTTTAACGCTTCCCACTCAACTTTTTCTAGTATTATTTAGGGGTGTTAAAACTGCTGTCTGATTTAACGATCTTTGTCTTTTCTTTTCTGAAACCTACAATCAGTTAAAATAAACTTAGCATAGTTTATTTTTACAGTGCCATGCATGTTTTAGTGAGTTTTGCGGGACACTAAGGCCCGTATTACAGAATGACAACTTAGTGTTGATCTTTACTTGAATACAGTTAGAAAGGGATGTCGCTCTGTAGCACATAGCGCCATCCCTTTCTAACTGTGCTCAAGTAGATATCGACACTTAGTTGTCATTCTGTAATACGGGCCTAAGAAGCCAATATGCTTTTTCGAGTTCCCGTAAAAATCGGTTCAGCTGTTCAGATGTCCTGCTACTGTTCAAATAACAGCGTTGTCGCGATACGTTTAGTTACATGTAACAATAGCATTATGCTGAGACAGGGTCCTGATTGACCAATATTATAACTCTGTTAGGTTTATTTATTTAGAAACTGATATTATCACTGCAAACAAAATCACAGATATATTATTACTTTTGTTTATATTAAATATATAAAAACATTGGAACAGATTTGTTTTGTATTAGACTTAATTGTTACAATATAAAATCTTTTATGGTCTTGGTTTATATAGTTGTTAGTTTATCTCTATTGAGACCTAAAATTATGTAAAGTTGTCTCTGAGTGGGGGCGCTGACAGCTGTGTTACAGTTTTTATTATTACAGCTGTCAATGAATGCATCCACTAATTATTTCGGGGAGTTTTTGGCGGGATTTCATCGAGTTCGGTTGGCGTCGTATTTTAATTATTCTTAAATTCGTTCATAGTGGATATTGTGAAATAAAATTGGTGTGGTTTTGTGTAACAACTGTCTGCGTAACTGAAGAATTAGTGGAATCATTAAAATATACGCTATTCCGGTCAAGTGGACGTGAGAATTTTATTGTAGTGTTGACTACCTCACAGAAGCTTATCGAAAAAGCCAACTCGATACATTTCGTGCCAAACACTCCAAGAAACATTAGAATGCGTCACACCGACATTCTAATGTAAAAACAAAAAGAAGATTAATTTAATTAAAGACCAGGCTGTATGGGCATTGTTCCCTTTGCCTTCCCTTAAACGGGAGAACTTCAACAAAAAAAAAACTAATTATTTCGAGGGAACACTTGTAATTTTGAGTGAAAATAAATAACTTTATTATTATTATTAATGTTTGTGCTGCTTACTTTTTATATGTGTTTTTATTTCAGCTGTTTGTAATTAAATGATTGTGCTTCTGATGTGTAACATCTTTCCTCTCGCTTGCCTGCAATTTGTGGGAGTGATTTCGTGAAATGGGACGGAAGTGTGTAACAGGAAGTCGCGAAAGCGCGCGCTATTTGATTTGATTTTAGAACGTAATGTTAAAATGGCTTGCTTATTTCTTTTTTAGTAGGGTTTTTTTATTACTAATATAAGGTGAGGTTTCAAATGTTACATATCATACGGTTCTCTGTCTCTCTCACTCTCATGTGGAATCGGAGTAAAACAGAGGACTAGTTCTGCGCAAACGGAGTCGCGTGCAGCCACTGGTTTAAATATATTTCGCCATATTTAACAAATGTTTGCGCCTGTTGTTACATCATTACGGTCGTTTATCGTCTGACAGACGCGTTTATAATTCGTTATTATTACATTCGTCGTATTGCCACGATAAGCCCTATCACCGGTAGTTCGGATGAGGAAATAGCACCCTTCCAGCCATTCAGATGACTTACGGATCGCGTCTAATAAATACCTACTTATTGGTGTGGAAATTCTGGGTAGCAAATATTCATATGAGCATGAGTGGATACGGCGATGAAATATCATAATCTATCTATATATATAAAACTCAAAGGTGTCTGACTGACTGACATAGTGATCTATCAACGCACAGCCCAAACCACTGGACGGATCGGGCTGAAATTAGGCATGCAAGTAGATGTTATGACGTAGGCATCCGCTAAGGAAGGATTTTGATCAATTCTACCCCCAAGGGGATAAAATAGGGAATGAAAGTTTGTATGAAACTTTGTCAATTTTAAACCGATCGGGCTGAGACTTTGCATGCGGGTATAAGAAGAATCATAGATGAATGTCATTGTGTATAATATAAGCCTGAGAACAAAAACTGTAGTCTACACTTCAGCTCTATACCGAAGCGAATCGAGGGCGGGACGCTAGTACTGTATAAATACCGTATTTTTTAGAAATGTTTATTTTATTTATTATCTCTATGATGCCTACGTAGTATATACTCTATTTACCAGCCTACGCATTTTCGTTTGAGTAAATCCATCTCGAATTTAGTGCTTGCATTTGAAGAAAATCGTGATAGCATTATTATATTGTAATACCTAACGAAAATGTTCCGCCAACGCATTACAATAAATAACATGAATTTATTTGAGTTTCTGTTTATGATTTTTATATTGAATTTCTACTTTTTTATTCTATACTATCTATTGGGTATTGTTTAAGAAATAGTTATTGTTCATGGTTTGGCATATCTTTTTAGCATAATTCGGCATAATTTATATTACTTATGTTTTAATTGTATAAAGGGCGATAAAAACGTTAAATATCACTTGCACTGCTGCCTACCCTGACCTTATCCCCTACACCGTGGAGCCACCCGTACTTTATTATAAAGTTATTTCGGGTAATTGTACTCTAGACTTTATGCCAACAATAAAGTACGCGAAAATACTTTATTTAATGTGATTTGTATACTCGTGGTTAAATTTTACATAAAATATGCAAAAAGTGGTTGAAAGGAAGTTTTTTTGCGAATGAATATGTTACCCTTAGCTAATTCCTGCAATATTTTCGTGGCTGTTTTTCTTTGTATCATGACCTTTCCCGTTGCGGAAAAAACTACAGTAGCCGCAAATTATTTATTAAAAGTTGCTAGTAACAACGTCAAATATATTTTTAAGCTTACTAATAAAGTGGAACAAAAAGTACTTTATTTTGGACACAATGTACTTTTTTTCTACTTTTGATAGTTTGATGTACTTTATTTCGACAAATAAAAGGTAGCAATCCTACCTGTAACTGACTTACATTTTCTTTAGATTTGAACATCTAACAGTAAAATGCCTAAAATAAAAACATAATATATGTCATTAGTGATATTTCATCTGCATTGTATTATGTACTTATTAATTTAATTTTTTTCTCATTGATATTCAGAATCGAAATTGCCAAAATAATTATGCCACACCTTATGCATTTTAAACTTAATTCTATTAGTTTTAAATGAGGCGGTCAGCGCAAAAGTGGCCTAAACCTCAATTATTCATATTCTAATTAGGCGGCTAAGCCCACTTATGAAGTTTACGTTGAGAGAAAAAAAATCAATGCAAAAATAACTTTTGCAACGCCATCTATTGACGCCTGAATTGAATGACGATTTTGAATTAAATTTTAACACTTTTATATTTAATTGTAGAAGATGATTCAGAATATGAATAATTGAGGGTTAGGCCACTTTTGCGCTGACATCCTCAAATATGGTGTTAACTCTTAATTAAATTAGCAAGAATATGCATCGTCATAATATTGACTGCAAGCAAATGTAATTTTATGATACTATAATATAAGGAAATAACTTAAAACTATTTACCTCTAGTCTTGCAAATAACTTATTTTAAACTTTCTACAGTGCAA